ATGGGGCGGGGAAAACTAAAACTGAAGGGGATTTACTGAAAGGGCCGCTGTGTAATTAAGAAAATTTGCCAAAATTAATATCGACTACAGGTTACAAATCAAATATAAACATATAAAAAATAATATATATATATACATATAAATGTAGGCTAAATTTAATGAAATAGGCTATTCAGAAATGAATTCTTCTTCTGCGTTTAGTGGACCTTCATATCATTGGCGACCATGGCTCTCCACAATTTCCTGTACTTTTAAAAAAAAATAAATTAAAAAACAAATATGTTAAATTTATTTAAGTAATGATTTACTAAGCGTAGATTTGGCACAAGGCGGCAACTATAGAGCGCTCAGTGAGAAACGATCTTACTAATCATTTGTAATTAGTCTAGCGAGACAAGCTTGGTAATTACACCACGTCTCCGAGTCCTTGTGGGTAACAAATTGTTTCCCACCTTGCAACCTCTCTCTCTCACAGGTGGAATGTGGCAAGCCTCTTACTGCTCTATCGCTATAGGAAGTGCTCGGACGAACTGCATTCCTTAGTTTCGCCAGCTCTTTCACGGTTAGGACTCACCATACCACACATGTCGTAGTGTATCACCCTGATTTCCCCCGTATTCCTTTGGTAAGAAGTAAGTTCCACTTGTGCAACTTCTCCCCGCGATCCATTGCCCTATGAAACCGACTCCCAAAAGGATGTTTCCCCGATCACTACACTCTTAACCTGTTCAAGTCTAGGGTTAACCTTTATCTTCTCTACCCACCTAAAACTATGCCTTTTACACTGTCCGTCCTGGGTATAAAGATAAACTACATCCGAGAGTAAGGCCTCTGATCAGAGGTTTTAAGGAGCGTGGAACCACCCATATACGCAATCTTCTTAGGTAGGTTCCTCGGTGTTTACCTTTGCCCATGATGCCTTCAGTATGTCCTGTGAGTGTCAAATTTTCCAAGCCCTCTGGCCTCATTATGTGTTCCAGAAATCTTAAAACTTCATTGTTATTCCACTACAATCACTAACCTACACTACAATCATAATCACTACAATCCTAACCTGTTCAAGTCTAGGGTTAACCATTATCTTCCCCCTCCTATCCACATAAACTGTGCTTCTTACTCTGTAACTCTCTACCCCGAGTGTGCATGTGGTACCCCTAAGAACCTAAGTGACCATCACTGTAAAATAAATAAGTACAAAGCAATTGCAAAATTTTTTACGATAGGGGTAATTTTACAGCAAGTGTAATTTTACGATAGGGGTAATTATACGGTAGGCGTAATTTTACGGTAGGGGTAATTTTACGTTTGGGGTAATTTTAACTAGGCGTAATTTTACGGAAGGAGTAATTTTACAGTAGGCGTAATTTTACGGTAGAGGTAATTGTACGGTAGGCGTAATTTTACAGTAGGGGTAATTTTAGGGTAGGCGTAATTTTACGGTAGGGCATTTTTACCGTAGGCGTAACTTTACGGTAGGGGTGATTGTACGGTTGGCATAATTTTACGGTAGGGGTAATTTTACGGTAGGCGTAATTTTACGGTAGGGGGAATTGTATGTAGGCATAATTTTACCGTAGGAGTAATGTTACGTTAGTGGCAATTTTACAATAGACACAATTTTTACGGTAGGTGTGTTTTTTTTAGAACTGCAGGAATCTCACTGGAAAATGTGCAACATAACTCTATACACACACACACACACACACACACACACATACATACACACATACATACACACATATATATATATATATATATATATATATATATATATATATATATATTAACGGTTTAGTTTGCACATTTTCCAGTGAAATTCCTGCAGTTCTAAAAAAGCACACCTACCGTAAAATTAGAGATATTAACGGTTCGGTGCCCAGCTCTGCATATATATATATATATATATATATATATATATATATATATGCAGAGCTGGGCACCAAACCGTTAATCCGTTAATTGCTTTAATTAACGAAGTTAAAATTTTCGCAAATGATTCAATCCCCAAGCCAACATTGAACGTCATCATGGCATCTGAAGAGCTTAAATCTGTTGATGCCGTCGAAGTTAAAACTGTCAGTGCCACTAGATCTCAACAGGAACAGACTCAAAACTTAAAGTCAGCGGTTTATCGATAACGTCCGTTACATTTTTAATTTATAGTAATATGAAAAAAGAAAATGAAAAAAAAATGTTATTTCCTGGTTGCAGTGCCAATTGTACAATTCCAACCAAAATTTATTCTTGCAATCTTTAGCATATCGCTATTCTGATAATTATTCGAAGAAATTTCTTGCAATTTTAATTCGGTTGTAGTACGATTAGGTATTAGTAACACCATATGGAAATATAGACTTTCTTCTTCACTATGAGAGTGACAAAAAGAACTCTCTCTCTCTCTTTTCTCTCTCTCTCTCTCTCTCTCTCTCTCTCTCTCTCTCTCTCTCTCTCTCTCTTACACATACTTCCTTTCCTTCCTTCTATTGCTCCTATCCCCGGTAACTGACATAGTGAACGTCCTAAAAAATCAACCAATGACACGTCCCGCCAAAAATGAAACCGAAAACAAGGATGTGTCAGACCCAATAAAAAGAAGAAAAAAAAAACACGCACACAGCAGAAAAAGAAGGAGTAGTGGAAAATTGGAAATGACCCACATAAGCTATGTCCGGGTTCTGAAATTGAAGTTAAATTGAAATTTAAATAACTAGGAAGTGTTTTAACAGAGTAAAGAAAACGCAACAGTGAATTCCGAAGACGTATTGGGATAGCGAACGATGCCTTCGAAAAGATAACAAAAGAAAAAAGAAAATTTCCTTAGAAACAAAGAAAAGGGTGTCGAACTGTTATGTAATATCAGCTTTCCTATTTGCTGAACTGGGCACCGTTAATTGCTTTAATTAACGAGGTTAACATTTTCGCCAATGACTCAATCCCCAAGACAACTTTAATCGTCATCATGGCATCTGAAGAGCTTAAATCTGTTGATGCCGTCGAAGTTAAAACTGTCAGTGCCACTAGACTTCAACAGGAACAGGGCCAGAACTTAGTCAACGGTTTATCAATAACTTCTGTTACATTTTTAAAGAGCTAACTGATCAATGGTTAAGAAAGTTAACTTTTTGATTAACGTTACAAACTTGTGATGATTCTCAAAGTCAACTTAAAAGTCAAATCGCCAACGAAAATGACAAGTTCGTTAATCCACGGTTTTGGTGTCCAGCTCTGCCTATTTGACAGTGAATCCTTAACAATCTCATTACAGATGAAGAAGAGACATAAGGCAACATAAATGTGGTTCTACAGAAGGATGCTGAGAATCCTATGGAATGAACATGTGAGTAACGAGGAAACTATACAAAAAGGACGTTTATACTTAGAATCAGAAAGACAGTTGGAATTTCTAGCACACATAATAAGGAAAGCGGGCTTGGAGAATTTGAAACTAAGCAAAGTATTAAGAAACAGGAAAATTGCGTTAGAAACAAAGAAGAGAGTGTTGAACTGTAATGTAATATCAGCCCGAATAGCATCCTCAGCGCTAAAGTAGGTTTATCTAGAGAGTGTCACACTTCCCTTTTTTTGCTGAAATTAAGATCTAAGCAGAAGATTAAAATTGTTCCGCTTGACCTCAGTTAATGACAATGCTACTGAGCTGAGCTGGATCATTAGTCTAAGATCATTAGTGCCAATGTCATGATTTATTGAGAAATATAGTTAAATAGTCCTTCTACTAGACTGGTTGACAACTAAGGCTAGAGATTCCAATCTGCCTTGCTACTTAACCCATAGATGGGGCGAGAATAGATGGATTTATACCCTTCCCAGAGTCATTTGTGTGAATGGGCACATATCACAGATTAGCCCGAAATTTGAATTCGGCTCACCAATTCCATTTTCCCCGAAAATAATCGTTACGTCACTTGCACACCGTGTTCTTGTCATGGGTCCTTACCTATAACTACAGAATGAACTCTTCCTAACACTATGTATACTACGCCTCTCAAGAGAGAGGGTCGAATCGAATCGAGCCGATAGTAGTTCACTCCAAACCAGACTGACAGTCATACTAACACCTTCTACATCTTGTATTATTATTTCGTGTAATATACCTTCGTTATTTCTACTCTTGTGTTCGTGTTGTTCTTCCTTGGTCCTAACCTGGACCATAACAGTTCTTATGGAAGTCAAATAAGCCCTGTAATAGGTAGTGTCATTTAACATCAATTCAGAATGGCGTGTTTATTCCGGACGAAGGTGATCGTGACTCCTCACAGATTCTTTTACTTTAATGTTTGTAAATTGCCATGACTTCTTGGGAAAGATAGTGGAGTGATTTCCTGTAATTTCATCAAACCTGTACAGACAGAGAAATAAATAGATAAATAAAAAAAAAACAATGACAATAAGGCCAACCTTCCACAATCTCTAAAAATAGATGTATATTCAAAATCGCCAGGCCAAAAATACAGAGTTCGACCGACCAAAAAGAAAGTTTTCATAACCAGGATATACGGCCGTGAGCCAACGCGAATCAAAGCGCTTTTTTCGAAGCCGATGTTTAGCGGTGTATATAACCAGATGGAAAATTAACCAAAACCAGAATCTATAAATAAATTTTATCTGTTCTCCGATGCTAACATAACATAACCAGTGCCGAAATGCGACCAGCTGACGATGTGAGATTGCTAAACCGTCTAGCTGCATTGAAAAAATATACCCTTTCCCTTCACCCACATTGTTAAGCAGGCGACCACCATCAAAATCTCCTTCCCTCTGGTGCAGTACATGGACAGGTCTCTGTGGTTCTTTTACAGATCCTGCCACTGATACTATGGCTTGACTTCCATGGTTAGTTTTATCAGAAAAGACTTAAGTTATTTGACAAAAAGTTCTCCTCAATTGTGTGTTTCTGTTTCAAACTCTGGGAAACGAATTGATAGCAAAGTTGTTTGTTCTTTAATGCTGTTGTTTTAAAATATATTAAAGCCGACATATTATTATCCTGCTATGTGCTTAGTATCGATGAGTATGGCTTTAATGTTTACAGATTTGTGGCGACTGTGAGTCTTGTTTTTAGTCTCAAGAAGAAATAAATTTATTGGAAATCCAAGGGGAGTAATAATAAGAGATGAATTGATTATATTCTTATTTATAACAATAATGATTTTTCCTCCAAGGAAGTAATAGATCTTGACAATTCCGAATTTAAGATAGATAGATAGATAGATAGATAGATAGATAGATAGATAGATAGATAGATAGATATGAAGAAACTTAGATAGATAGATAGATAGATAGATAGATAGATAGATAGATAGATAGATAGATAGATAGATATGAACAGTCTGATAGATATGAACAGGCAGAGATAGAGAAAGAGGGAGAAATGCTAACATAGATAGATAGATAGATAGATAGATAGATAGATAGATAGATAGATAGATATGAATAGGCTGAGATAGATAGATAGATAGATAGATAGATAGATAGATAGATAGATAGATAGATAGATAGATAGATAGATGAATGAATGGATGAAAAACATAATCCAAAATATAACGGAACATAATTTAATGCCGTAATCCTTGAGGACCTGTCAGTTTTCTTTATAGTGAACAGGAAATCTAGACCGATGGGCCAGACAAGGCATCCCATGTGGGCCAAAAATATGCTAGAATAGACACGTAATGTTGTATACATGCTAGGGACGTATGACTTTAAACTTTATTGTCATAATACGGTTATAATAGAATTACCAGTTACACAATGGAAAACGCGATGATCTCGCTTGGGTTTTTATCCGGAGACTGTGATAGACACAAAAACAAGTCAAATAGCCGTTCGCCGCTTTATATCCATTCACTTCTCTCCACCTATCACACAACTGGCTCACGCCCATAGCTACACATGTGCCCTGATTGAATCACTGACCATTCACCCCGACGGAATCTTTTTGATCTCTTGACCTTTTCTCAACTCTGTACAGTGTCCGCCATGCTCTCTCTCTCTCTCTCTCCCCCGTCTTTCCGTCTCTCCTTTCACTCTTTACCTCTCTCTATCGCTTCCTTTCTCTCTTCCTTTTCCTAGACGCCTAACTTGATGTTTATTTCATTTCATTACGTCGCTTAAGCAGCCGTGAAACGCGTTTTAAAATGGCCGCTCATCAGCCGACCGGAAATTCAAAGCGCAGACGATAAGATGACGAATATGAAAGAACAGACGAACAAGTTTATTCTTTATCTTCATGCTGTTATTGCTAAGTCATAAACAGCCAATCTCGCCTGTGCACAAGATTTGTCAAGTCCTGGCCAAACCTCTACAACCTGACAGACAGTTTGTTTGACAAATTCAGGCGTCCGTTTCCCAGTTTAGATGAACATGGCCCGATTCCTATAATTTAAACATCATATTTGTTACTCGAAATGATACCCGAGCTTTCCCTGTAGTAAAATGCTGTGATAAAAACTATATACATTTTTCGAATATGTGTGTGTGTGTGTGCGTGAAAATATATAGAAAATAGAAAAGAACCCGTTAGGTAAATAATCCAAAGTTCTTTAGTATTTTTGTTATTATTTAAAAAAAAAAAACAGTGCTCGATACAAAAGTAGAGCCTAAATATAATTATTTATTTTAAAAAGTAAATAATTTAATAAATTTAATAAATTTAACATTTTAAAAAAACTATATACCTTTTTCGAATATATATGTGTGTGTGTGTGTGTGTGTGTGTGTGTGTGTGTGTGTGTGTGTGTGTGTGTGTGTGTGTGTGTGTGTGAAAATATATAGAAAATAGAAAAGAACTCGTTAGGTAAATAATCCAAAGTTCTTTAGTATTTTTGTTATTATTTTAAAAAAAAACAGTGCTCGATACAAAAGTAGAGCCTAAATATAATTATTTATTTAAAAATATGATTCCATCGCTACATAAGAGTTCTCATGTTTCAAAACAAGAGCCTAAAACTTCAATATAATAATAAAAAAAACCTTTATGAAGTCGTCAAAAAAAACAAATGTTAGCGAATTATGACAGTTTTTTATATACACAAAACACTTTCAGGGGAAGAAAAAAAATAAAATAAATAAATAAATCTCCATAGACACTTAACCAGACTAGACGATGTCATCTTCCGCTTTGAATTTAGACACCCCAACCTTACCCTGACTTTTAATTTTAATAATGAATATGCTTATAAAAACGCGTAAATTTCAAGAATTAGTTATTCCAAAAATAATTTCTCTTGAAGATGGAACAGAGCTTGGTACTTTAATTCAATTTAATTCAAATAATTTTATTGAAGTTTTCGGCTCTTGTTTTCAAACATGAGAACTCTTATGTAGAGATGGAATCATATTTTTCAATAAATAATTATATATATATATATATATATATATATATATATATATATATATATATATATAGATAGATAGATAGATAGATAGATAGATAGATACCAACGAGATCGCTGGAAAATGAGCATAGCAGAATAATAACGGCCTTAAACTTGATGAAAATAATTTTTAGTGTCTGTTCTCTTTATTTTATTGAGTTTTGTATGTTACAACTCAGAGCTGATTTTAAGGTAGAAGGGGGTCAACTAAAAAAAATGATTTGCTTTCCTCAAAGCCTTGTGCTTTTAACTAATTAATCACTAAAACTACAAATTTGAATTTCAAGAGTTTTCATAAAGTTAATTATGGTGGGGGTAATAAATATAAAAAATAATTTTTACCAAGACTTAAAAAAAAAATAAACATATTTATAATAATTTCCGTCATTTGTGAATAGTTTCTGAAAGTTTCATTAAAATCCGGCAATTATTTTTATTTTTGCAAGATTTTCAAAATTAATGACTGTCATTAAAAAAAAAAAAGAAAATACACAAAAATCCGCCATGTTATTTAGTAGGACATTCGCTAATGATGAGAAACGAAGTTTTTCGATCAAAAGTTAGAATGCTCTAATAAAGACAGAAAAATTTTGAAAAATAATTAAAAATTACTTTGTTCTTTTCTCTTAATAAAAACATAAACATTTTGACGTAAAAATTTTGTTTTCGTCAAGTTTAAGGCCGTTATTATCCTGCTATGCTCATTTTCCGGCGATCTATTGCCAATACCTATAAACTAAAAATCCGTTGGTATATAATCCAAGTGGACTCTAGTAATATAAAAATATTAGAACTGATCCATAAAAAAGTGCTCAAGGTATTTTATTTATACAGAGCAATATAATTAATAATCAAATAAATTATTTTACCTTATGTGGGGAATAGGCTATTTCGGCAAACGACGACAGTGGTTGCCAGTCTTTTAGCTACCCTAGGTTATACCTCTCCCCCTCTAAAACTGTTTATACTATATTGATTATAATTTAGAAACCGAATTCTCCTTCCGTTAATCACCTACGTATGTTTATGTATAAATTATTTTGCTTTTATTTTTGTGTTCATTCTTAATTTCTTCTTTAATTTTAAATTTAAGTTAAAAACTTGTGTTTTCTTCTAATAGCCCCATTTGTCGTCCTAAGGGTAATATTCTGGGCATTCTTTAATAAAACGTCCCCTTTAATATAGATACCTATCTCCCTCCTTAACCCCTGCCTTGTGCCTAGCGTCCAACTGAAATAGTAAAAAAGGAAAACTGTGTAGTAGATATTTTCGGCAAGTTATGGTTTAAGGTATATATATATATATATATATATATATATATATATATATATATAAATGGACAAAGTCCGACAATTATTTTAAGACATTTTTTATGTTTATACATTCTTTTTAGAGATACAAATATTTAAGTAAATGCTCTGTTTATAATAAACAGTATTAAACAACATTTACCGGCCTGAATGTCCGAGAAATTTTCATAGAAAATATACGTCCTCCGTATAAACATAAAAAATGTCTTAAAATAATTGTCGCACTTTGTCCATTTCATAATGTGTGACGTCATTTGTTTACATTTGAATACGCATCGAGCAGATATGAATGTACGTGAGAAAATCATAGAAAATTGGAGTTTAAAAACAATAAAAGCACGTCAAGCTATATGACAAAAGGAAACTTTATCCATATTGCCCTTTTACATATATATATTTTTAATTATATCTGAATTTTTACTGATTCGCTAAAAATTAGCATACTATGATGAAAAAAAAAAGCCCCAAACTCAATAAAAACAAAGTTTTATCATCAAAATCTTTATGTTATTATTAAAAGGAAAATCCAAAAGATTTTAATTATTAGATTATATTCTTTTATCCTTTTCAGAAGGTTCGGAATTTTGGCTAAAAATCTTTTCTTTTTTTTTTTTTGCGTTAGCCAAAAATTATTATAGGAAATTTTAGCGTCTTTTTTGTGGAAAACACATTCATTCGGAAATTCTTGAAAAATTAATTAATTGTCGGATTTTAATGAAGCTTTCAGGATTTATTCTCAAACAAGTTTAAAAGCGGCCCTATCGGGTGGCATTTAACCTAGCTTCTGCGTAATGATCTTGATTGGGCCTTCGGCCCAACAATGGCAGTTCGGGCATTGAGTACATATTACATTTTATTAAACTTGAACAATATTTTTCAAACAAGTTTTCATCAAAAGAATGGTATAATTTGTCTATTTGGAACTGCATGATAAACAACATTTTTCGTTTTCCCATTCAGGGCCAATACAAATAGCTTGTTTCCATTCCCAACCCTTGAATAACCAACATAGAGCTGGCTGTGAGGAAAGCAGGATTCCATAAGATGAAGTCCAGTTACTTTCAATGATTGTCCTTGGGACTTATTGATTGACATTGCATAGCTCACTCTCACTGGAAACTGAAGTCTTTTGAACTCAAAAGGAAGCTTTGCAGGAATTAAGGGGTTCTTGGAATTAAAACTCTTTTCCTCCTTCCCTGAACCAGTAAGTATCTCTGCTTCCAAGACGTGAGAAACCATTACAAATTTTGAAAGATCAAGATTTCTCAATAGCATAATTGGCACATTTTCTTTTAGTTCCAGCTTGTGTGATGGCATTCCAGGAGGATTCAATGAGTTCAGGATCTCTGTTGGAGAATTCACTGCCTGTTCTTGTTCAACCATCGTGACAATGTGTCATATAGGAAGAAAATAAATAACTACCGACACTGAGATTCGAGCGTGAGACTCTGGATTTATGAATATATGTTTTCCGCCAGATGTATAAATAACGGTGTCAGGCTACTGACTGGTGTGATTATTGATTGATTATTGAGTGACTATTGAGTGGAACTATCCAGTCGAATTCGCGTGAAATTATTGTGCTTCGAGGATTTGGGTTTCTATTTAGGATTTGACGGACGTTAAGCCGAGCCGCGCTACTAACAAGGTATTCACTGAAATGGTTAATTATCTTTGGTTGAATTTTAATCCTTTATTCTTCTTAAGTATTTATTTGTGGTTGTAATTAAATACTGTTTTATCTTAACATTGAAGTCTTGAGTTATACTTAAGTATTAACGACCACCGTACGTCAAAAAACAATGGAAAATGCTTTCCAGTTGATGCTATCCACAGTTCGATTCTTGGGAGCTAATATGGCCCTCT